AGGCAGGGGTATCTCCATGAGTTCAAGACCAGCCAGGGCTACAGAGAGACCCTTTCGTAACTGAATTTGATCCTAACCTGCTGGGTTACCCCAGCAATGGGGAAGGGGAGACAGATGAGTCCTCAGGACTTCGGCCAGGCCACCCTACTTGGGAAACCATAGAGCAGTAGGAGAATGTCCATCAAAGAAAAACAAGCTAGTGGAGAGGAGATATGGCTTAGGAGTTAGAGGTGACTGCCACCAAGCCTGACAACATGGGTTCAGTCCCCCGGTGCCCACATGGTGGAGGGAGTGAATGGACTCCTGCAAACTGTCTTCTGATCACACACACACACACACACACACACACACACACACACGCACATGCACAGGCACACACATGCATGCATGCTTGCACACAGGTGTCCTCTGACCTCCACACATGTACACTATGCTTGTGGGCACAAATCCCATAAATAAATAAATAGATAAATAAATAAATAAGTGGATAGGGAAATAAACAACTTTTGAAAACCTAAGGTGGATGCCTCCTGAGGCATGAACCAGAGACTGCCCGTGACTTCAGTATGCACGCGCACACAGTGATACACAGAAAAAGACGTATCAAGGAACAAGATTCACTGAGTACAGAAAGCAAGCGAAACAAACCTGTACCTGCTAAGAACCTGGGGTCAGGGAGGCCAGCTCCTTGAACTAGACTGTCTGGGGTGATTCACCCTCCCTCAGGGAGAAGCAGGTGGGGCAGGGCATTGCCTGCCCCGATGGAGCACCTGCTGAGTGGTGGCTGAGGCCAGCACCCAGCTGGCTGGTGTTGGCCCCGGGGCCTTTGCACGTGCTGCTCTGGCTGGCAGGAGCGCCTGGGTCTGTGCCTGCCGGGACCCACCATAGAGCAGAGCACAGAGTCTCTGCACTGTCCCCACTCTACCCCCAACCCTGTGTGCCTTTCTTAGGCCGCCAGAAAGATCCAGGGCTTAACTAGTGAGAACAGACAGGCCCATTTCGGGGATTCTTGGGGCTCCATTGACCCCAGAAGGCTGAACACTGCCAGCCCTCCTGCCTCAGCTGGCTCTGAGAGGTCTCTAAGAACAAGGTCACGGGGTTCAGAAGAGCCCCATCACACAGGGCTGCTCCAGGGGATGGAGAGGCTCTGGGGCAGGGAGAGCAGCTCATGGAGAGGCTGCAGGACACCAGTATTTTTAGGCACTGAACGAAGCTCTGAAGCATGTCCATGGCCCCTCCCAGAGCAGGCTGGGCGGCTGTTTTGGAGCCTGGTTCCAGCAGAGGCGGGATGGGATGGAGGCCATGAGTCACTGCCTGGTGGCTTTGGAGGCGGCCGGGCCAGGAGGGAGCTTGCTGTGTGAGCCTCACGGGGAAGCAATGCCTGGTGCTGCCCCCAGTGAGGCTCAGCCTAATGGGAAAATTTTCTGGGTCACCAGTGGACCACAAGTTGTCTCCACCCACTCCATAGCTTGTAGAAAGTAAGGTCTGGGCAGTGTGGCGCACGCCTTGAACCCCAGCACTCGGGAGGCAGAGACAGGTGCATCTCTGAGTTCAAGGCCAGCCTGGTCTACAGTGCGAGTTCCAGGACAGCCAGGGGTTAAAAAAAAGAAGTAAGATCTAGATAGCAGGAATGTTCCCGAAGACGCCACTCTGCGTTTATTGACTGCTTAGTGCCCACTTCATGCCAGGCTGACTGTAGGGCGATCACTGTGCTGTGCATTTATTCCCACCACACAATTACTCAGCACTTGCTGCATACCAGGCGGGTACTAGGGGTGATGGCCATTGTGCCACACAATTTCTGGATACTAGGCCAGTGGTTTACCCTCACTGTGCACTTACTGGTCACCTGCTGCATACCAGGCTGACCGCAGGATGATTGAAACATCATGTATATATTTATTGAACACTTACTAGGTTGAAGTGGCCCAGGCACCTTACCCAATGCCTCCAGGCCTGTGTGGCTTCAGTTGCTAGGCCAAGAGGGCTTGTTTTGTTGTGCATTGCAGGGGAGGGAACCCCAGGCCTCCCCACAGGCTGAGGGAGCCACACCCCTTCCCAGGGGAGGATTTTATTTTTTGCAAATGTGTCCCTGAGAAGCCCAGCAGCCCCCATGCAGGCGGAGCTCTGAGGAATGGAAGCTTGGGAGACCTGGGCCTCACCAGCTCTTGGCTCTGTGTTTGGCCCTTGAAGCTGAGCCCAGAGGTCACCGGGAACCTCAAGTTCTGGGAGGCAAGAGAGGGAAGCCAGGTCACCACCCACTCTGGTTTTTGTTGGTGGTGATGGTGGCAGTGTGTGTGTGTGTGTGTGGTTGTTATTTTTCTGGAGACAGCGTCTGTGTGTAGCCCAGGCTCGCCTTGTACTCACAGAAATCTGCCTGCCTGCAGGGCTGGGATTAAAGCATGTGCCTGTCCATGTCTGCTTCTGGACGGTAAACAAGGAGCCCTCTGGGGGTGGTCCTGGAAGCCTGGGCAATGTGCTGGGGACACATGGCTGTCACCCTGGAGTCACCTGTCCATCTGCAGTCCCAGGGAGGAGTGGAGTTGGAATCAGCTATGGAGCTGAGCGGGCCTGGAACGCAGGCAGGACCGGCCCAGCCTAGGTCCCTCATGAGGGACAGTGGCCAGGGAAGAGCCCCTGGGCGGCCAGCAGCAGCTTGAAGCACCCGCTTCTCTCTGGCTCCCACCCTCGGGCACGCCAACAGGTGCAGGGCAGCTGGCTCACTCTTCCTTCCTACTGGGGGGCGGGGACTCCCCAGCCTCCACCCTAGTGGAGCCCCAGCCTCTCCTCCTCAGCGCAGTTTTGCTGGTCATGGGGCCTGAAACACTAACTCTAGGTGACTGGCCCTGCAGGCCTGTCTCCTATCCCCAAGTCCTAGTGCTCAGGATCAAACCCAGGACTTTGTGCACCCGAAGTGTGCAGGACTCTTCATGGCACCTGGGGGTCAGAGTTCGACTTGGTAACTGATTCTCCCATTGCCCGAGTGGGTCCTGGAAATCAGACTCAGGGTGTCAGGCTTGGCGGGGCACCCCTTTTTCTAGTCTTGAATGTCACCTGACCCCTACCCTGGTGGCCTCTTCAGCTGGCTGGCCTCTCACCCGTTTCCCCTGGGGAAGGGCAGGGCTGCAGGGCCCAGGAGTCACCGTGTTGGCTGGGGGCCAGTCCCCGCACGCTTGGCCAGCCTTGGGGCCACTGTGGGACGTCCTTGTGACCACAAGGTGTGTGGCCATGCACCCGGTGCCCCTGAGCTGCACAATACTGAGGTCTGCCCGTGAGGAGCCAGGAGGGTGATGGGGACAACACAGTGGGAAGCCACCTGTCATGCAAGGTGGCCCCTCTGCAGTCCCTGGACCTGGGTGAGTCATCCTGTGGCTCAGGCCCCAGCAACAAAGGGGACCGCAGGCAGAGTGCTGTGGGAGGGACCGCCCACAGGAGAGCAGCTGAGGTCAGGTGATGGGTGTGGACACCAGCCCAGCAGGCTTGGTTTAGACAGAAAGATCTGGAAGCCAGACTTCAGGAACTAGGCCTGGCTTCTGGTTTCCTTTTTTCGGCGGAGGGGCTGAGGCCAGCGGTTCCTGGAACTCACTGGGAAGAACAGAGCCCTGGCGCACCTGAGGCAGGGCTCATGGCTACAGAGCAGGGCGGCTGAGGGGTAATGGAGGGGGGGGGCTGACACACACGACAGGAATGTGATGGACACAGGGCCCAGGGCTTCGGCCGCAGGGCCAGGACAGGGAGGACTGTGGCCCTTAAGGTCAGTAAACTGAGACACTGGAGCAAGAGAGGCTTCGGGGGCGGGGCTAGGGCACACATCATAGCCCTGCATAGTAAGCAGCGCAGGCCTGCAATCCCAGCACCAAGGAATCAGACGCAGGCAGATCTGAGCTCTAGGCCAGCCTGGTCTACACAGTGAGGCAACCCCACACTAGATTCTCTGTAGTGTCTGAGGCATGGCCTTACTCAGCTGCTAAGGACAGTCTGAAACTCAGCAGTCCTCCTGCCCGTGCCATACCAGGCCAGACTCACAGATCTAAAGTGTGAAGACAGAAAGGACCCATGGGCTGAGCTATCCCTGCCAGTCCTTACCTCTGGGCAGGTCTCAACGTGGTGACCCGCCTGCCACAATGCACGCCCTCAGAGCGCTGTCTAGGCAGGGTATCTCAGGGGACCCAGCTAAGGGCTGGGGGGGGGGGGAGCTGTGGTAAGATTGCATCAAGACCAAGCCACAATGGCACTGCCTTGCAGCTTGGCACTCGGGCTCTAGCTGGGAGGGGGCACAGGACAGCACAGACCTTCACAGTTATTTGGCTTGAAAAAAAGATTTTTTTTCAAAACAGGACTTCTCTGTGCAGCCCTGGCTGTCCTGGAACTCGCTCTGTAGACCAGGCTGGCCTCCAACTCACAGAGATCCTCCTGCCCCTGCCTCCCGAGTGCTGGGATTAAAGGCGTGCTAACATGTTTGTCATCACTGTGGACCAATGGGTCCTGAGCACGGCTGTGGGAGCTGAAGACAGAGCCCACTGGTCAGTAGGCACTTGCCAAGTGTTCACGGAGCCCTGAGCTCCATCCCCAGCACCCCAGGCTGGAACACCATTTCCTGGGGCTCCAACATCTTCTGGTCTTCATGGGCACTGGCATGCGTGTGGTACGTATACATATAGATACCACACAGAGAGAAAAATAAATGTAAGAAAAGGAATGTTTAACCCCTAGTGTGTTCTGCTCTGGGGCATGAGCTTGGGTTACAGGCTTCTGTTTCAACATGTGAGCAACTTGCCAGCCCTGACCTCATCATGCCCCTGCCTCAGCTTTCACAGTGCTGCAGTCATGGACCCGGCTCTTTTGAGTGTCATGTAGTCCAGGCTGGCCTGGAACTCCTGTTCCTCCTACTTAATCCTGGTAAGGGCGGGGTCTGCTAGCAGGGCCAGGAGACAGACGGACAGATAGCACACACCACGTGCTCATGGAATTGCTGCTCTGATGGAGGGCAGGGCTGGCTCTGTCAGTGACACTTCCTTTATTTTCGTAACACAAGAGGGACGGGGTAGGCTGGGGAGGGACAGGCCAACCCAACGTGTGCTGAGCCTGCAGCTCCAACATGAAACCGAGTCCGTGGGAGTCAGGAGAAGGCGGCGGAGGCTAGCCCACCATCCAGGGCTCAGGCCATGCCCCTCACTGCTTGCCTGCTTGCCGTCCTGGCTTCTTCTCGGGCTGACCTCGGCCCGCACCTGGGATGCCACCCCGGCCCCGGCCACCAAACACACCTGCGGGTGAGAGAAGAGGCTGAGACAACAGCTTCCCTGCAGGGTCACGAGCGTCCTGACACAGAGGCCACGACAGGCGGAGGAAGGCCCCAGGCTGGGATCCCCATGTCCCCATCTTCCCACGGGAGCCCACAGCCTCATGGAAACTAGGCAGGGTGCAGAGAGCGGCTCTCCAAGGAGTCCCTCAGACCTCATCAGGATCCCACCTCGGCCAGCGCCGCCCATGCCTCTGCCTTTCTGCTGCTTTTGCTGCTGTGGTCCCCCTCGCCCACGGCCCTTGGCAGCCTCTTCCCGCACCATGTCGATGATCTCATCAGGGATGCGCAGGTACTTGATGGTGCTGCCCCGGATGTAGCACTCGGGCATTCGCCAGAACTTGTCGCCGTCCTGCGGAGAGAGCTGTCACAGACTGCACAGTCCTCCAGGCCAGCGGTGCACCCTCCCGTACGGCCACTCACCCTGGATGTACAGATCACCTCTCGAAGGTTGATGTTCATCCAGTTGTCACAGCTCACCAGGTGCCCGTTGTACGTCTCCCCATTCTTCAGCTCCACCAGCTGCAGGAGACTCAGCTCAGCCCGGCCCGGCAGCCCCGCCCCCGCAGCCCTGCCCGCAGGCCTTCTTGTTCTCAAGCTAGCCTTCTGCACAGCTAAGCTTAGCCCTCAGGGGCTGGGGCATCCCTCACTGGAAGTGCTGTGACGACCAAGAGGAGCCCCAGGGTCTCCCACCGTGCAGAGTGGACAAATTAAAATTCCTTACTAGCTGGGCATGGTGGCACACACCTGTCGTCCCAGGACTTCGGAGGCTGAGGCAGGAGGACAGTAAGGAGACAACAGACAAGCCCAGTCTGGTCATCTGAACAAGGAGTATCACACAGCCAAGAAAAGGGGATGCCCTCAGAACTGTTGCTCACTCAGAAATGCCCTCAGGGTGCAAAGGCGGGCAGGGGTGGGGAGAACTCAGGACCAATGCTGAGGTGAGTGCTCTGCAATGAGACAGGCTGAGCTCTGGCTGTGAAAACCTGTAAACCACAGGTCAGAGGCAGCATTCCTCTTAGGGTACTGGGGACAGAACCCAGGTCTGTACCATGCTGGGCCACAGTCCATGCAGTCACATTCCTCTCTTTTTCAACAAACTGAGTCTCACATGCGCCCATGTTGGCCTTCACCCATGGCAATCCCCCTGCTGTAGCCTCCCTGGCAGCTGGCATGACAGGTGCTGTGCTACTCTGTGCTGTGACACTGAGGGCAGAGCCACGCCAGGCACATGCATGCCCAATGCCTTTTACCTTTTTTTTTTTTCCGAGACAGGGTTTCTCTGTATTGTTTTTGGAGCTGGTCCTGGAACTCACTTTGTAGACCAGACTGGCCTGGAACTCACAGAGATCATCCTGCCTCTGCCTCCCAAATGCTGGGGTTGAAGGCGTGCGCCACCACCGCCTGGCTTTTATTCATCTTATTACATTTGTCATTTTTTGTCATTTTGTCTGTGTTCAGGGATGGTGAGTGTGGAGGGCTGAGAACAATTCTGGTGTGTGTGTGTGTGTGAGAGAGAGAGAGAGAGAGAGAGAGAGAGAGAGAGAGAGAGAGAGAGAGAGAGAGAGAGAGAGAGAGAGAGAGACAGACTATGTGGGGATTGAACTCAGGTCTTTACGCTGGGCAACAAGCACCTTTAAGCACTGAGGATCTCCAGTCCTCCCAGCACGAATTGCAAGGGACTGGGGTGTGGACACATGAAGGGAGGTGGCCCGGTGTGGGCGTGCTTACCATGGGGTGATTCTGTGCTGTCTTGAGCAGCGACAAGGGAAGCTAGAAGGCAAACATCAGTGTCAGTGTCCCCTGAAGCAGGGGCGATTCCATGGGCAAAGCTACCCATCGCACATGACTCTGTGAAGTCACCAGGCACCTCACACTGTCCCCTCCTGCAGGTGGCAACCACCCAGACTTGCCTGGACCATGTTGGTCATTTCTCCACGACTCCTGCCACCTAAACCACAGGATGGAGTGTGGTCCTCCACATCTAGAGGGAGCACCCGAGAACGTGATTTAACTAGCCAGATTCTTGGGAAAGTCTTACTACACAGTGTGGGTAGGCTGCAGCCTTCTGAACCCCAGGGCTGCACTAGTGCCTGGGATTTCTGCTTCCATGGTGCTGGGAATAAGGCCAGTGGGGAAGGAATCCCTGAAAAGACAAAGGACGCCCTGTCCCTGTGCTTCTAGAAGGGATGGGCTGGGGCCCAGGTAGAAGGGCTGAGGGCTGGGGAAGGACATTGTGACAGAGCAGCTAACCCCACAAAAACCAACATAAACCAGGAGCTATACTATACACTTGTCACCCTTAGCACCAAGAGGGCTGAGGCAGGAGGATCAGTGTGTCTGAATTATCCTCAGACACAGTTTGAGGTCAGTCTGGGCTACATGAAACCTGTCTCCAAAACTAAACCAAAACACACGGGGGTACATATGCTTAATTCTAGCATTGAGAAGCAGAGGCAGGTGGATCTCTATGAGCTCAAGGCCGGCCAGGGCTATATACCGAGTCCTCGGCTCAAAACAAACAAAAACAGACAAGAGCCCCAGACCCCTCAGGAGCCACCATGTCCAGCACAGTAACTTTGGGTCATGAGAGGACTGTGGACCCTGCAGCCCACGGCCCTTGAGAAGAGCTGGGGAGGCCTGGTAGTAGGAAGTGAGACTGGAGCCCACTTCCTGGAAGGGCAAGAGGCTTTGGCAGTCAGTGACAAGGGTGTCCAGGCTGATCCTCACATAAATATACAAGAGCTGCAGCATGGCAGCCTGTGGATAGGCTCCAAGGAGACAGGCACCGTCATTCCTGGCTACAGTGTGAAGCCAGCCTGGGACTTATGAGGACTCTGTCTCAATAAAGGGCACACAGAACAGTCAAATCCCCAAATACAAGGGATGGCAGGGGCTCAGGGGCCAACACTGCGACACACACACCACCCACACTCACAGACACACACACACACACACCACCCACACTCACAGACACACACACACACACACACCACAGACACAGACACACACACACCACCCACACTCACAGACACACACACAGCTCTCTTGGAGATGCTGTGGCCCAGTTCAGGCTGGGAGCTGGCTGCTCGTGAAGCCCATCCTTCTGTTGTTGAACTCTTGTCCCGCCAGCCAGGGCGCCCACTACCTCCTAGGAGCGCTTCCTCAGACTGTCCTTGCCGAGTGATGCTGAGCATGTCCCTTCCTCTGGCCGGGCCCTAATGGCCACCCTGTTTCCACCCGGCACAGCAGAGGCCGCTCTGTAATTACCGGGTGATTACCACCAGTCTCCCCGGCTAGACAGGAGATGAGCGTGGGCGTGGGCTCTGCTGTGGCTGAGGGGCAGTAAACACACGGGTGCACCCCACAGGTAAGCGAGGTGTGCAGGACGCCGCCCTCAGCCTCCACCCTGAAAGGCTGCGGGGACCCTGGGGAGACAGGGGTAAGAGTGGGGCTCGCGATGAGTCAGTGTTGTGGCTGGGAAGGCCTGGGCAAGGACACCCCACACAGCTCACAGTGAGACGGCAGGGTGCTTCAGCAAAGGAAGCCCCAGCCTGGCCGTCCTCCAGACCCCGGGCCCTGTGCAGATGAGGTGGGTGGGGGCCCAAAGCCCAGGGCTGACCTCAGCGATGCTCAGCGGGAGCACCCCGTCCCAGGCCGTCTGACTGGAGCGGTGGGTGGCAACCCTTCCAGGAAGGCCAGGGCTCGGCTGGATGGGTGCTACGTGGTGGGCACAGGCCGAGCCTCTGGGTCCCGCAGCACACAGACCAGGCATGGTGCCCCCTCCACCTGCCAACTCCGCACTCTGGAGGGCAGCGGGATCAGAAACTCGGGGTCGGCCAGCCTCGCCTACACAGGGGGCTCAGGGCCAGTGTGGGCGAGGGGAGACCCTGCCTCCCCTCCTGAGACGGGTGTGGCGGTGTGCACGTGTCTTCCCCACACCCCAGACCCTGACGACGGAGGAGCGTGAGTTTGAGGCTAGCCTGGGCTACATGATGCGCACCCATAGAAGACAGAACCGAACGTGCGAGCGTCAAGAACTGGGGGGATGGGAGACCCGCCCGCCCCTGGCCGCCCCGCCCGCCCCCGGCCGCCCTGCAGGGCGTCGCTCTGGGTGGCGGGGGCACAGACACCCGGCGGGCGACAGGCCGGCCGCAGGAGCCGGCGGCAGCTCAGCCCCGCCCGCCCCCGGAAGTGCGGCGTTCCCAGCAATGACGCCGACGGATCCCGGAAGCGATCGCTGTCCCTCTTCCGTTCGGGAAAAACGTGTCCATCCCGAGACACGTCCCCAGCGGCCACGGGCCGGGGCCCCGGAGAGGCCCCGGGCGCCGCGGCCTCAGTGTCTCCCGCCGCAGCGCGCGCGCCCACCCGCCCCGCGGCCCTCACCATCTTGCTTTGGAGACACTTCCGCCGCCGCGCAGCCTCTTGCGCTCCCCCGGCGGCCCGCCGCGCGCCACTGGCCTGACGGGACCGACAGGGACTGCGACCAATCAGAGAGGGGCTCGAGGGACGCTCACCCAATTGGCGTGGAGTAGGGCGGAGCCTGTGCAGCGCGACGGCCGGGCGCACCGTGGGAGTGACGGGGCGGCCGTAAAGTGCGGCTGGAGAGACGCAAAAGGCCGCGGCGAGCCTCGTGCCGGCTCCCGGTGCCTGCTGGGAGATGGCGCCTGCGCAGACGTGCGCCGCTGAGTGTGGTGCGGCGCCACCCCGTGGGCGAAGGCGGTGAGTGCGCGTGAGGCGCGTGGGGCGGGGCCGCCGCCGGCTGCCCACCTTGGCGCTCCTGGCCTCCGCCTCCCCTCCGCCTCTCCCGGCCTGTGCTACGCCGGAAGCGGTCCTTGAGCGCGGACGGCGGGTGCGGCTGCCCCCCGCCGCAGGGGCGCAGACTGAAATGGCTGCAGCTGTGCTTTGAGACGGGCCGGGCTCGGCATGAACGCTCAGCCGCTCTGCGTCAGCTGCTTGCAATGAGCACGGTAGAAACGTCTTTCAGACGCGCAAAGTAGTGCAGGAAGCAGGGGCGCCCCGCAGGCCAGCTCAGCCCCCATGACAGCCGCTGGGCAGTGCTCGGCTCTGCACCCAGACGGCGACCTCGACTCCCTGTGGCCACAGCGCCTCCCCAGGTCCTGACCCTGCAGGATGCAGCCGAGACTCCAGGCCCAAGAGAGCGGCCTCGGAGACCTAGGTTAGGGTAGATTGTGGGCCTTGTGTGACGGCCCTCAGCACGTGCGTGTATGTATGTATGTAAGTGTGTGTGTGCGTGTGTGTCTGTGTGCATGTATGTATGTAAATGTGTGTGCGTGTGTGTATGTATGTATGTAAGTGTGTGCGTGCGTGTGTCTACGTGTGTGTATATCGTATCTACCTTCCTGCCCAGGCCACTGCTGTTGCCTTTGGGTTTTGCAGACAGGTTTCCCTGTGCAGCCCTGGCTGTCCAGGCTGGCTGGGAACTCACAGACATCCCCCTGCCTCTACCTCAGGAGCGCTGGGATTGGAGACATGCGCCCGCAGGCCCAGCACACCGCACCTTGAGTCTTCTTGGGAACTCAGGTTCTCGGGCTTGCCAGCGAGCCCCCCCGCGTTGTCCCCCCCCCCGCAGCCCTCTGTTGCCTGTTTTCATTTTCTGGCTGCTGGGATGAAGTGGGGCTCCCCCTGAGCTTCCGACCAGGGCAGCTGCTTTACCAAGCTGATGAAAGGCTCCAGTGCAGCATCTGAGTGATGGCATCCCCCGCCGACCCCTACCCAGGGCTCTGTGATGACGTCAGCCTGCACCGGGACCGCGCACCGCCATAAAGTAAATAAACCCAGCAAATACTGGAGAAGACAGCACCGTGGTGCAGGATCTCGGCACTGAGGAGGTGATGGAGGCCATCCTGGGCTACACACGGCGCTCACGAATCGCCTGGTCTCCGTGACTGTGCGCAGAAGCGTGTCTTAGGGTGTGGGTGCCCTGGCAGCCCAGATTCCTGCTCTGAGACGTCGCCTGTGGGCTGAGGATCCGAGACACCCAGGGGAGGAACGCCCACGATGGGGGCCGAGCACCCCCAACAGCAAGACGGGCGAATCCCCGCAATGTTGACGTCAGCGTTGGCGGGGAGCTCGGCGAGCCCAAGCTCCTCAGAGTGAGCCTTGAACCGGAGGCGCCGCTGGGAAGCTGCCCGATGGCTACAAAGGACAGCGCCTCGGTGTGGCGGAGGAAGTGGGGAGGGAGTCGCGGGCTGTGCCTCTCCTTGAGCCCATTCTAGACTTTTCTCTGAGCAGTCTTCTTTGCCCATTTCCAAAACTCCCTTTCTTTCAAACTTGAAACCTCGGCTTGGGCGCCCCGTGTGGCGTAACTGCGTCACTTCAGCTTTGGTTAGATAATCCCCCCTTTTTGTTGTTTTGTTTTTCTAGACAGGGTTTCTCTCTGTAGCCTTGACTGTCCTGGAACTCGCTCTGTAGACCAGGCTGGCCTCGAACTCACAGAGATCCACCTGCCTCTGCCTCCTGAGTGCTGGGATTAAAGGCTGCACCACCAATGCCCGGCATAATTCCCCTTTTTTCTGTTCTGTTTTTTCCTTGACAACCTGGATGAAACCGAGGGCCTCACGAAGGCAGGCCCCCAGCCCTTTCCTAAGGGGATTCTAAGCTGTCACTCTACTCCCGAGCCACGCCCCCAGCCCCTGTCCTGACCTCTTGAGTTTCTCACAAGTTGCCTTTAGAGAGGCCACAGGGGCGTTCTCTGACCTGGGGCCTGTGCACCTGATGATCAGGAGAACCTAGCCACAGCCTCAATAAACGCTCCGCACACCCCACCTCTATGCACCTGCAGCTCACAGACGGGAAAGAGCATCAGAAGAGAGTGCCGAGGACACTCCAAGTGCGCCTGGCTGCTGCAGATGACGAGGTTCACTTCGCTTCTTCTGAGGGGAGAGGGAGGGTTCCACACTCCGAGTGCACCACGAAATAAAAGGAGAACTGGCCGGGCGTTGGTGGCGCACGCCTTTAATCCCGACATTCGGGAGGCAGAGGCAGGTGGATCTCTGTGAGTTCGAGGCCAGCCTGGTCTACAAAGCGAGTTCTATGACTGCCAGGGCTGCACATAGAAACTCTGTCTCAAGAAAAAGGAAGGAAGGAAGGAAGAAAGGAAGGAAGGAAGGAAAGTGCCTTACATTAAGATTTATGGAGGCGTATACTCAGTGAATCCCAGGAAAGAAAAAAAGGAAGGAGGCAAGGAGAGGGGGAGAGGGAGGGAGGGAAGGGGAGGGGAAGAGAGGGAGGGAGGGGAGGGGAAGAGAGGGAGGAGAGGGGTAAGAGAGGGAGGGAGGGGAGGGGAAAAGAGGGAGGGAGGGGAGGGGAAGAGAGGGAGGGGAGGAGAGGGAGGGAGAGGAGGGGTAAGAGGGAGGGGAGGGGAGGGGAAGAGAGGGAGGGAGGGGAGGGGTAAGAGAGGGAGGGAGGGAGGGAGGGAGGGGGAGGAGGCACATGAATGACATGAATATAAGAGGACAGGTTGGCCTGGGAGGAGACAGGGGAGAGGGAGTGGGGAAGAGAAGGAGCCTGCGGGCGGGCGTGTGTCAGAGGAGTGTCAGAAAGGTCCCATCTTCGGTGAACACATGCTAACACACCTAATCCCAGCGCACAGGAGAGAGGCAGTCTCATAGGCGAGAGTGCCTCAGCATTACCAGAGCCAAAAGTAACAAACCAACCAACAGGTCTGGATGCCTGGGTGGGGGCGCATTCCTGTTACCCAGCCTTTGAAGCAGGGCAGGGGCATCGCTCCAAGGGGCTAACCTGGGCTGTATAGTTCTGAAAACAGAGAGGGAAGGGAGGAAGAAAGGGAAGGGGAGGGGAGGGGAGGGGAGTGGTGGCTGCCGCTTTAATACCAACACTTGAGAGGCAGAGCTGGGTGGATCTGTGAGTTCTGAGTTCGAGGCCAGCCTGTGAGGTGGCCGAGAGGGTAAAGGCCCTCTGGGCCAGCCAGGAACGGAGGGAGTGAAGGTGTGGCCTTGGTTCTCAACAAGGCTTGTGATCTGTCACAGACTGTCTCAGGCCGGAGCTACAGGCTGTTTCCTCAGGGTGTTCAGAGTGTTCCGCATGGTGGGTGATGGTGGGGGTGTGGCCTGGCGTTCCTTTTGCTCCAGGCCTCCAGGGAGGGTCTCACTGATGCCAAGCAGGATGTCAAACAGCCCCAACTCGATGCTTGTTTCCAGGGAGATGATGAACTTAAAGCATGTGCTATCAACCCACCAGGACACCTATGTCTACTCCACACCCAGGTGTTGAAAACAGGGTGTTGGACAGCTGCACACAGAACACCCCTAAACCTACTTGGGGAGGAGAGATGGTTCAGGGGTTTAGAGCACTGGATGCTCTTCTACAGGATGTGGGTTCGATTCCCAGCACCCGCATGATGGCTCACAGCCACCTGTGCTAACTTCACTTGGGGGTGAGAGTCGATGCCATGTTTTGGCCTCAGGCATCTGCAGGAACTCTCCCACAGATATATAATTAAAGGTCCATGCCAGCATTGTTTAGAAGTGTGTGTCGGGGGACACGGGCAGACGGGGATGGCTCAGAGGACAGACGTGAAAGTCTGAAGACCTGAGTTCAAATCCCAGGACACATGTAAAAGCCAGATCCGGAATCGCTCATCTGTAACCCCAGCACCGTGTGCTGAGATGGGAGGTGGGGACAGAGGAACCTGCTAAAAGGTCACGCATCATGGAGCTTGGAGTACAGCTACGGGGGAGAGCACTGGAGAGGTGTGACCTGGCATGCAGGGTGCCCTGGGCATGGCGATGCACCTCTCATCTCAGATTCAGGAAGATGAGCTTGAGGCTAGCCTGGGCTACATGAAATCCTATCTCAGTAAAAACAATCAAACAAAAAAGAAAACACAGGAGCCTTAGCTGCAGTCTGCTCCACCCCCAGACAAGTGTCCTTTGGCCCCTGCCCGAGGAATGTGCTGTCCTAGGCATGAATTTCTCAGGTTTAGTATGGAGGGCAAAGGCTCAGAACGGCACAGGTGGCCCCGGGGCTGGCTGCATCAGGGGGCCTTTGACCAGGAGGCCATAGGGGCCTCCAGAAAACCTCACCTGATGCTTCTGTGTGGTCCCGGTCTCCACTGAGTGTTTCCAAGAGGGTGACACACCAAGCAAGCAGGCCAGACTAGGAGAGGGGGCTCAGAGTCACCAAGCAACCCCACGCTGGACAGGGTAGTCTGTCATCAGCGGACGATGGGACAGGGTGCCACTCAGGCCAGCGTAAGTCACAGTTTCTCATTCCCACCCCTTGGCACCTGGATTTACAAATCAGATATAACAATTCACAAAATTGTTTTTATTGTTGTTGCTGCTTTGAGATGAGGTCTCATATAGCGACACTGAGCCGCAGCCCGGTCTTTCTTTCTTTGGCTTGTTGGAGCCCAGGGCCTGGGCAAGCAGTGGGATGCTGGGGAGGAGCTCCCCTTCCCCAGTCCTCCAGGGCTGTCCCCGCTGGGTGTGCCGGCACCCACCTATGCTGGCTGCCTTCCCTCCCTCCTCGTCTCTCTTTCCTTTTCTCCTTTTGTTTGTTCTTCCGTGACCCGCTAGTTAATCAGGTCTGTGTGGGAGCACAGGCACTGGTCCTGTGGCTGTCACCCTGAGGGTAAGCCTCTACCCCAGCAGCCACAAACTGCCTGCAGACCCTCAGGTCCCTGGGCCTCCGTGGACCCTCTCTTTGCGCTCCCCCTGGTAGGGTAATTTTGCGCGTGTGCACAAGGAGGCCAGAAACCATACAGGGTCTTCCTTATGGTCCCCACCTCAGTTTTTGAGGCACAGTCTCTGTGAGTGCAGAGCTCTCCAAGTGTCTGGGCTGGCTGGCTGGCAAGTCCCAGGGATCCTCTGGTACCCACCCCTGGTGCTGGTGTTACAGCTGTGCACAGCCACACATGGCTGTTTATGTAAGTTCTGGGAATTCAAACTCAGGCCCTCACCTGGGGGGCACTTACCTGAGCTATCTCTCTCATACCTGCCCCTTGGGGAGTTTTGCTCCACTGTTGGTTGGAGGCCCTCTGAGTACCCCAGGGTTATGAGGACCCCCCCACGTCTTTAGGGTAAGGTATGCTTGGCCCAGGCCTTGGGTGAGCTTTCGAGTGTTCTGAGTGCCCCTGAGGCTGCCAGAGCCCAAATAGCTGTGTGTCGTGGGGCCTCCGGCTTGGGCTTGCACAGTGGACTCCCCCACGTCAGCCCCACGGGAAACTCTCCAAATGCCAACAGCCTTCCAAATGTCCAGAAAAGGAGGGTTTCTGGAAGTTAGATAAAAGCAAAGTCCCTTGGGAACTTGTGAAGCTGGAGGCCCTCTACCAAAAAGAGTCTTTTCCCTAAGGCTAGCAGTAGGGACATATGGCTACCTGCTGGCTCCCTCATTCAAGTCCATCCTTCCTCCCTCCCTCCCTGCCTGCCTCCCTCCCTGCCTGCCTCCCTCCCTCTCCCCTCCCTCCCTCCGAGGACATACCGTGGAGCAGCAGTGCTGTCAGTAGATATGACAGGGAAAGCATGCGTGGGTCCTGGGATGTGGGCCCAGCTCCCCCTCCAGGGTCCTGGGATGTGGGCCCAGCTCCCCCTCCAGGGTCCTGGGATGTGGGCCCAGCTCCCCCTCCAGGGTCCTGGGATGTGGGCCCAGCTCCCCCTCCAGGGTCCTGGGATGTGGGCCCAGCTCCCTCTCCAGGGTCCTGGGATGTGGGGGTCACAACTGCTTGGAATTTGATGTTTGTGCTCACAAGGCACAGCCTTGCCTCTCGGGACACCGCTAGGGGGCCCTGTTTTCCTTTTCTGGCTGTTTTTGAAGAAATCACAATAGACAAGGGCTGGCAGGGAGGACAGCCCTGTGTGCCCAGTGATGGTGGTGTGGTCAAACTACCCTCCAGCAGGACGTCCGTGCAAACCAGGCTAACCCGTGAGACAGAAGAAGTGGACCACCACAGTAACGAATAAGATTTAAAAAAAAAAAAGCTGTTGAATTGGGGCTTCTGGGAGAGAACCGGTGGGCAGACAATAGAGGAACAGGAACTCTGCGGGAGGCGACAGCCAGGGGAGGTCTGGGTGGGGTGGGGTGGGAAGGAAGCTTTCTTTAATGGAGGTGACGGTGGGAGAAGGAGGAGGCAGGCTAGACTGAGAACAGCCAGGCGTCGGCTGCGCCAAGGCCCTGGGTGGCCCGTGCCCCAGAGCCGCAGGGGAGGTAGCTGTCCCGGGCAGGTAGTGAGCCGAGGCCCTGGTGGGTCTTCCTGCTGCACCTCCCTCAGCCTCGCCGGAGTGGCCTCGCCGAGAGAGCGCTGATCCACGCCAGTGCTGGTAAACTGTGGTGAGAACAGAATCTAAGGGTTTCCCGGCTCCCCATGCCCAGGCCCGTCTGAGACGTCCGCTCACAGTCCACGCTTAAGGAACGGGGACAAGATAAAGGATCAGCCCCGCCGTCCGCGAGGTGGCCCTAGGGGGAGCTTGCAAGGGGCTACACCCTACGAAGTAAACGTCCCCTTCTTACAGGACAGGAAACTGAGGCAGGGAAGTGAGAGGGGCTCCTTCCCATTGCCCCCTTAAGCGTTGGAGGCGGGGCTTGGGGCGGAGCTGGCTCAAGACGATGGGCGTGGCCAGGCACGGGGAAGCGTTGGGCTGGGCAGGGCCGGGCGGTGCTTGGGGCGGGGCCTAGATGGGGACCAGGTAGCCCCGCCTACATTTCGGCGGCTGAAAGAGCGAGGGCGGGCTTAGGGCGGGGCTCAGGGCGGAGTCTAGAATTCAGAGGCGTGAAGAGCGTGGGCGTGGCCTGAGCCCGGGAGAGCCGGGGTCGTAGGTGCGTGCGGCAGGGACAGCGCTGAACCTAGGGCCTTTGGGGCTCAGGCGGAGCTGCGCTGGGGTGGACACGAGGGCACGTGACCTGAGCCTGGCGGGCGCAAGGGTGGGTAGGGTGTGGCTTGGGAGTCGGGGCGGCTGGAGAGAAGCTTTGCTCGGCTCGGGGCGTGGTGGTGCTGGGGAAGGGGGCGAGGCTGGGGGCGTGCCGGATCCCAGGCAGGATTTGGAGGTGGGGCTTTGGAAGGCTCGGGGGCGGGGTTGGGTAGGGGTGTGGCTTCTAAGGGGCGTGGTCAGGGAAAGGCTTGACCCGGGCTCTGGGTCAAGGGAGTAGCTAGGGGCTCGGCGGCACCCGCGGGGCCGCGCACAGCTGACTGGGGGCGTGGCCGGGGCGTGGCCGCGCAAGCCCAGCGCTCGGGGGCGGGGCCGGGCGGCCGGGCGGGGCTCGCGGGGCCGCGTTCGCTCCAGTCTCCGCCGCTGCGGCTCCCGTGAGGTTGTCCCGCCATGGAGCAGCCGCGGAAGGCGGTGGTGGTGACCGGTAGGTGGCCGGGCCGGGGGCGGCGGGGCAGGTGCTGCTCGCGGTTGCCACAGCTTTGCAGTTGTCGCCGCCCGCGACAGCACCGTTCGGCCCTGGTGACCTGAAGAGTCCCGAGGTCCTGCGGCCGGGGCCGGGGTGCGTGGCGACGGCGTGCAGCCAGGACCCTCGCGCGCTGCAGCCCCTCGGAGCCCCGGCCTGTCCCCACTCCCTGGCCTGGGGACAAAGGCGGGTTTACAGCCAGGAAAGGCCCAGGTGACACACGGTCCGCTCAACACCCCGCGTTGTTTGGGGCCCTGCGACCCGGGTTGGGGCAGTTGAGGGCCTGAGTCAACCTGGCCCCAGAATGACCCAGGGACTCCTGAGCACAGTTCCTACTGTCTCCAACACCCCCGGAAGCTAACTGTACTTATTTCCTGAAACTCAGCCTGGGGCCTCTCGGTGGAGTCAGCTCCGCGGGCCGTGGAGGAGGGCACTCAGCAGGGAAAACTCCACAGGTGTTTGGTGACTGAGGAAGGTTATGGCTGTAATTCCTCGAAAGCGGAGGGAGCTACTTCCCTGCTGGACAGGTGTCAGTGGCTGTGTCCCGATCACTTGGAGCATTCTGGTGGGCGGGCGTGTGTGTGTGTGTGTGTGTGTGTGTGTGTGTGTGTGTGTGTGTGTGTGTGTGGTTTATTTGACTGGTTGATTTATTGAGAGATTCTATTGCTCTGGCCCATGGGCCTGGAACTTACTCTGTGACCCAGGCTGGCTACAAACTCTGGGTGGGCGTTTAACCTCACAAATGATGAGATGAGCAGGGCATGCCACCATTTGGAAGTGCCCCCAGAGCGTAGCCTCTACATGCCCTCCTGAGGTATGGTGGCCATCTCTTAACGATGGCAGCGGGTAGGCACCTTACCACCCGAGTTACACTAACCCAGGTTCTTGGGAGGAGCTTGTGTTTGTGTGCGTGCATGTGCTTGCTGGAGCATGCAGTGGTGTGACTCCTCGGGCTCTATCCCGTTGGGGTTTTGAGAAAGTGTCTCTCATTTGGGAGGCACTCAGGCCCGCTCACCAGTGTAGATCTGAATCCCCCATTTCACTCTGCAGCAGGGTGACTTCAGTGAGTTAGTGTCTCTCTGCTCCAACCCTTGCTCACGGTGATTAGGGAAACCCATGGAGAGGGGGAGACACCCAATGTGACAACACCTCAGTCTGTGTTGGTCAGAGACGGGCCTGGAGGGGAAGTGATCAGCAGTGGTGGGTGTCCGTAGCCTGGTCTGCAGAGACCCCACAGCCCCTGAGCAAATCCTCAAGTAGAGGGTGACCTGATTAGTGGGGACACACAGCCCTGGGCTCCCAGGGAAGACAGCCAGACACACACAATCAGAAAGTAGCCACGGTTACATCCTGCCTGGAGAAGGCAGTACAGGAAAGGCCTACTCCTCCCAGGTGGCAGGTCCTGACAGGGACAAGGGAGCCAGCCCGTGCCTGTGGTCCCAGCGCTCAGCAGGCGGAGGAAACAGGACTGCAGCCTGGCATCCATGGGGCCCCGCCCATGGGTGGGCTGTACTGGGAAGGGTTGGCTGGGTGATAAAGTAGTTTGGGGGTGTGTCGAGGAGGGGGAGAGGAGACCTCAGAACTCTTAGGTGGGAAGAGAGAGTAACATTGCTTTTCCTGTTTTCAGGGTTTGGCCCTTTTGGGGAGCACACTGTGAACGCCAGCTGGATTGCTGTCCAGGTAACTCTGGACTGGGGGAGGAGCCTAGTCCAGAGCTGAGTGTCTTTCTGTGCCTTTAAGTACGGTGTAAATCTCCCGATGGCACTCAATCCAGCTCATGTGTCTTGAGCGCTTATTTTCACTTGGTTTTTTGGTTTGGTTTTTTATTAATTGTATAGCCCAGGCTAAGTCATGATCCTCCTGCCTCAGCCTCCTAAGTACTAGAACCTGATCGATTGAAAACCTTTTCCATTGGCCTGGGGCTGTGGAGCACACCTTTAATCCCAGCACTTGGGAGGCAGAGGCTGACAGATCTCTGAGTTCGAGGCCAGCCTGGTTTACAGAGTGAGTTCCAGAACAGCCAGGGCTACATAGCAAGAACCTGGCAAACAAAACAAAACCTGACTTGAGAAGGCTGGGTCTGCCCCGGTCTGTGCTGGTGGACAACAGATGGGATTTGGGCAAGAGCTTAACCCCTTGGGAAGGAGGGCGGTGACCCTCAGTGTCTGCACTGGGACCCTCAGGAGGGTGTCTCTTCCCAGAGTCCATCCAAGGAGCGACTCCACTAACTTGTGTTTCCTTGCCAGATGGGGCATTCAGACAGACAGGCTAGAACAATTGAGTGGAGACAGACAGACGTTTGATTCTTAGATAAATCAGCTGGCAGAGACGGCCGCCGGACGCGGATTAATCTTAGCCCATTAGCTGTGTGATTTAAGGGCTCCCTCTCCCCACCCAAGACTGCCGCGACCCCTGCCAACAGCTTGTCGTCCCTCCCACCTCAGACGTCTCGGCTGCCTTGCCACCACCCCTCCTCTGCCACCTGCACTCCGCAAGCACACGGAGGACCCCGGATTTCCAGGACCTTGTAGATGGGAGTGTGGCCGGGGTCCCTGCGTGCATGCCCACTCCCCAGAGCCCCAGACAAAAAGAACCAGTGTGTCTCTGAAGACTTGTGTGTCTGGCTTTGTGTGAATTGCAGACAGGAGGCTTCACGGGCTGAGTGGACACAAAGCCAGTGTCTGGATTCCTGGGCCCCAGACGCCACCATCTGCATGTAAATAGGAAGGAAAATCAAGTAAACAATCTTTGGGAATTCCCTTGGAGCTTTGGGGCTCCGAGGGGAAACTTCCATTTGTACAGAAACCCAGACTGTTTCTCATCTTATTCCTTGAAAGAATTCATTTATTTATGCATTTGTCTATTGTGCGGGTGGAAAGGCACACAGGAGGTCAGAGGGCACTGCATAGGTCCTCGGGACTGAACCTGGGTGACAAGCCCTGTCACCTGTTGAGTCACCCTCCCAGACACACTGCCCTTTCTCTTCTTAAGCTTTGAGACAAGGTCTCATCCTGGCTAACTCCAAACTCCTGCCTCAGTCTCCCCAGTGCTGGAACGGCATGTGTGTGCCGTCATGCCTGGCTCTTTTGACTGATTGATTAATTGATCGATTTTCAGGCAGGACCTCACTCTGCAGTCTTGTCTAGCCTCAAACTCAAGGTGATTCTCTTGCCTCCGTTTCCCAAGTGTGGGGACACCCTCACTGCCAGCTTTTGCTTCCTTCTCCCCTCAGGTCTGGGGTGGCAGGCTGCACATGTTCCTGGAGACGCAGGTGACTGTCAAGAGCCAGGAAGCCTCTGACTTGTTACTTCCAAGTCTGTTCCTGAGCGGGCCACGGTACTCGGTGGCATCCTGGGATAATTGCTGCCACCAGAATCTAGACAGACCCTCTGAGGAATAGTACCAGCAAACAAAGAGGGGCTTTGTGACGAGGTCCAAAGACTCAGTCAGATGCACCCTGCAGCCTTGTCTGATTTTATGACAGGGTCTTTTCAGGCAGCCGACCAGGGACAATGCCACAACTGCACCCACCTACCTGGTGCTTTCCAGGGTGCTGAGCATGTAGCCAAGATACAGGGGTGGGATTTGGGGTTCATGGCTCCTTCTTCCAGGAGGACTGGAGCCAGGTGTCAGGGGCAAAAGGCAAGAGTCGGATGAAGAGTGACACTACGTATCTGTGACAGTATGTTGTCCTTTGTCAAGCCAGACAGAGTGTCATTACTGAGGGATGGGGGCTCACAGCTTTCATAGGGACTTTGAACACCTGCTTGTACCCACAGATTTCCTAGGTGAAGCTTTCTGCTGCAGACTGCTTATCCCGGCCATATATGAGTCCTTGCCACCCAAGAGGTTGGGAAGGAAGCGAGGACAGGCGCGTAGGCAAACACCAGCCATTCATTTTTGTGTGTGTGGGGTTTCTTTTTTTTGTTGTTGTTGTTTTGAGACTGTATTGTTTTGGAGGCTGTCCTGGACTTCCCTTTGTAGACCAGGCTGGTCTTGAACTCACAGAGATCCGCCTGCCTCTGCCTCCTGAGTGCTGGGATTATAAACGTTCGTCACCAGCCCCCAGCTTGTGTGGGGTTTCTTTAGTCTGGTTTTTTTGAGACAGGGTTTCTCTGTGTTGCCCTGACGGTCCTGGAACTCACTCTGTAGACCAAGCTGGCTCTGAACTCAGAGATTCCTCCTGCTTCTGCCTCCCGAGTCCTGATATCAAAGGCGTGCACCACCACATCTGACTTTTTCTTTTTTTTGAGACAGGCTCATGTAGCTTAGGATGGCCTTCAGTTCACTACTAGGTGTCCCAGGCTGACCTTGAACTCCTGATCCTCCTGCCTCCACCTCCTTAGTGGGGGGTAGGGGAGAGAGGGTGACAGACATGTGACACCAAGCCTGTCCTTTTGTTTTGAATTTTTAAAGATAGATTTATTTTAATCACGTGTGTGTGCAGATGCCTCCAGATGCCCGAAGCCTGGGGTCCCTTGCAGATGTGAGCACCTGATGTGGGTGTGGGCCCTGAGCTCAGCCCCCGGAAGAGGAGCAATCAAGGACTCCTACCTTCTGAGCCCTCTCCAGCCCGGTTCAGGCTTCAGGACAGGGGCTCAGTGTAGCCTAGGTTTTCCCGAAACTCACTGTAATCCTCCTGCCTCAGCCTCTGAGTGCTGAGGGACAGGTACACGTCTTGCTCCGCCAACTATGGGTGGTTTATTTTGCTTTTCTATTTTGTTAACCAGTGAAGTTGAAAGGCCATCAAATCCAGTTGCCATGGTGATGCTTGCCCTTTGCTTTCCCCTGCAGCTTGCCCAGTAGGTGTCACACACCCCTGTCCCAGCACAGTTGAGTTTTTCATTCTTTCAGGTTTTTTGTTTGAGTTTAGGGTGTTTGTTGAGACAGGGTCTCCTCGAACTCCTGGACCCCCTACCTGCCCCCCAAGTGTTTGGGCTGACGGGGTGACGCCATACCTGGAGCTGGGGGTGGACCCCAGGCCTCCCCGCATGCTAGCTGAGCGGTCTAACGAGCTCCAAGCCCAGGAGCAGCTGAGCTGCCAGGACTCTCAACAGCCCCAACCCTTGTTGTTCAGTTTGTTGTGAGAGACAGGTTCACCATGTAGCCCTGGAGGAGGCTGAAATTAGTCTAGCAACCATCCTCCTGCCTCCGCTTCTCAAGACAGAAGACAGTCCTCAGCAATGTGACAGTGATATCTGACTCCAGTTCCTGATTTTTTCTGGGCTCCAGCAGCCAGGCTTTTCCAGGCAGCTCCGAGGGAGTCATGGTCACAAGGGGGAGCTGCTGCTCTGGCCCCTGCTTTTCCTGAGGGGAGCAAGTTCCCCTGTAGACCAGGCTGCCTCCAGTCTTCTGTGTATAGGAGGGTGGCCTTGAACTCTTGATCCTGCCTCCATCCTCCAAGTGCTAGGATGGCAGGCCTGCCTCGCCCGCAGTTCAGCTGCCTAGTGTCTGAAGACAGGAAGCCTCCTTGCAGCGCCCCCCTCCTCACAGGCGTCCTCTCTCCCAGGAACTGGAGAAGCTGGGCCTCGGGGACAGCGTGGACCTGCATGTGTATGAGATCCCTGTGGAATACCAGACTGTACAAAGACTCATCCCTGCACTGTGGGAGAAACACAGTCCCCAGGTGAGTGGTGCGCAGGGGCACCCCCGAAAGTCCCCCGCCGCAGTCACTGTTCTGTCCCGTGAGGAGGCACACCATGACCAGACGGCTCACAAAAGCCAGCATCCAACTGGAGGCAAGCTCACAACTCCAGAGGGTTTCTCCAGGGCCAACATGGGGCAGCAGCCACACCCAGTGATACCTCCTCCATCGAGACCACACCTCCCAGTCCTTCCCAAACAGTGCCTTGTCCTGGTGACTAAACATTTGAACCTGTGGGGGGCCACTCGTATTCAAACCCCAGCACCACCTTGAACTCCATGGAAGGGAGGCGGAAGGCAGCAACTGGGGTCCTCACAGGGCCTTGCTGCCCTCTGTGTGACAGCCAGGAAGGGTTTGAGCAAGTTACAGTTAAATATGAGTGCCAGGCCCTGGCTTCCCCCCAGCACCACCAAAGGAATTAATAAATTAATGACTTGCAAAACACACCACAAGCCAGGCACAGGGATGGCCGACACTTGTCACCTTGGCAGTCAGGTGTGGTGGTATCCCGTTTGTACAAATAAAGCCTATCTGAAGATCAGAGGGTGGAGCTCGCCACTAGCTAACCATAGAGGTCTGGAGAACTGTACAGACAGACAGGAAGTGAGGTAGCCAGGCAGAGGAAGGAGTATGGGCGGGAGGAAACAGGAACTTGCTCTCTTCTCCACTAGGAAGCTAGTGAGGCAAAGACAGCTTTGCCTTGCTCCTTCTCTCTGATCCCTCGGCATTTCCCCTGTATCTGACTCTGGGTTTTTATTATTAAGATCTATTAGAACTCACGTTACAGTCGGATTCAGGGAGCACCTGGACTAACTACATAAGAGACTGAGACCGGCCTAGGCTGTATCAGACCTTGTCTCAAAAGCAAGACAAAAGCCTGCCTTGGGCTTCCCTCTTAGCGCCCCACAGGACTTCTCTGTGCAGCCCTGGCTGTCCTGGAGCTCCCTCTGTAGGCCAGGCTGGCCTAGAACTCAGGTCCTCCTGCCTCTGCCTCCCGAGTGTGCCACCATGCCCTGCTGCCCTGGGCTTTTTAAACAGTTACATAATATGCCAGGCAGTGGTGGTGCACGCCTTTAATCCCAGTACTCAGGAGGCAGAGGCAGGTGGATCTCTGTGAGTTCAAGGCTAACTTGGTCTACATAGTTCCAGGACAACCAGGACTACACAGAGAAACCCCGACAGGATAAAGCCACTTAAAAAAAGCTACATGATAAGCAATTTTACTGCTTCCTTCCCTCTGTGTGGGTGGGTGTGCCCCTGTTAAGCCCCACCCTTCTGTCCCAGCTTGTGGTGCACGTCGGGGTGTCGGGCATGGCTACCGCGGTGACACTGGAGAAGTGTGGCCACAACAAGGGCTACAGGGGCCTGGATAATTGCCGCTTCTGCCCTGGCTCCCAGTGCTGTGTGGAGGACGGTCCTGAGAGCATCGATTCCATCATCGACATGGACGCCGTGTGCAAAAGGGTGACCACGCTGGGGCTTGATGTGTCTGTCACCATCTCCCAGGATGCTGGAAGGTGGGGTCTGGGTACCGGAGGGGTGGGCGGCAGGGTTTCCCCTCCAGCGGTGAGCCTGGGGGCCGACAGCAAGTGTCCTCTTCCTCTCCACCGCAGTTTCTGAGACAGGGTCTCTCTCACTCTGTACACCAGGCTGGCCTAAAACTCTCCCTGTAGACCAGGCTGGCCTAAACTTAGAGATCCGCCTGCCCCTGCCTCCCGAGGGCTGGGATTAAAGGTGTGCGCCACCAATGCCCAGCAGAATAAAAGTTTTAGAAAATGGAGAGAAGGCTGCCAAGGTCCCCCAAATTCTTCTGACCCCTGACTGTCCACTACCTCCCGACTCATGGGGACGTCCCAGGGGGTGGGTGTGGCCTTGGCCTGGAGCTGACTACTCTGTAACCCTGGTGTCTCCTTCGCCCGACTCAGGTACCTGTGTGACTTCACCTATTATACCTCACTCTACCAGGGCCGCGGCCGGTCAGCCTTCGTCCATGTGCCCCCGCTGGGCAAGCCCTACAATGCCGACCAGCTAGGCCGGGCACTGCGGGCCATCATCGAGGAGATGCTGGGTGTCCTGGAGCAGGCGGAGGGGGACATCGGTTGTTGCCACCAGCACTGACGGCCACGCACCCCCAAATGCCGTGAGAGGAGACACAGCTGGGCCCATGGGAGGCCCTGGTCGTGTCTGCCCCTCTTGGTGGATGGAGAGACCTCTTTCTGGCATTGTCCTGTGCCCGGGACACGGCTGTGCTCAGAGGCCGAGGCCAGGGTGAGATGGCCACAGGCTGGTGGCCTGCACACCTGCCATGCCACTGCCTTGACCCGAAACACTCCGCTCGCAGCGCCAGGGCCACGGGCCGAGAGTCAGAGCCCTGTGTCCGCCTGGGTCTCACGACAGCATCCCAAACCCTCGATGGTTCCCGGCAAAGCCACCTGGAACTTGGCTGCCTTTTCTGTCCTGTCACCCCTACCCCACACCCCACCCTCTCTTCCTGCTCTCTTCTCCCCCACTTCTCCAGTGCTAGATTAGGGAGCAGAGTAATTTATATCCCGTTGTTAATAAATAGACCAACACGTGTCTTTTCTTCCCCTGGGGCGTGAGGCCTGAAAATGGCGTCATAATTTGGGTTCCCATAGTTGTCCCCTCCGCTCAGATCAGGCTGCCGACACCAAGGGCCTGGGTCACACTGACCCTGCCATGACCTTTCTTATTTCATTTTTTAGAGGGTGTTTGTTTGTTGTCTTTTTTTTTTTTGAGTCAGGGTCTCAGGTAGCCCAGGCTGCCCATTTGAATTTACAGTGTAATTCAAGCTAGTCTCAGTTGGACTCCCGATCCTCCTGCCTCAGCGGGGACCAGAACAGTGGCTGACTGGGGATTTTCTCTGTCTTGAGATGGATGGCTTCTAGTGTCCCCTGGGACCAGAGGCCTCGGTGCCCAGGCATGGCCCTGCATGTTCTGCCATGCACAGGGACATCGGTGAACACTGGAAGTGTTCCTGGGACTCCAGCCAGCAGCTGTCTTCCGCTGACTACATTTCCAGCCTGGAGGAGGGGCTGGATGTGACTCGTGACAAAGTGGAGTTCCTGCCACCAGAGGCCGCAGGCATTTTGGTTTCTGCCTGCCGTTTTATGGAGGAACGGGTGGGGGCGCTCGCTGCCTCCTGGTGTGATTGGTTGGGTCTGGACCCCTGTGCCTTTTTACTGTGGTTTGGGACAGGTCACTGAGGCTGCCTCCAACTTAGATGGATAACAGGCTGACCTGGAACTGGCCCGCTGCCTCAGCCTGCCCTGAGCTGGGCTGATGGCGTGCACGCTAGGCCTGGCTACCTCTCACTCAGACGTCACGGTCCAGTGTCGTTTCCTCAGGCTGCCTCTCGAGCCTCCCGTCCCCAGGCAGAGATCGGGGCACCAGGCTCTCCTTCAAGTCTCGGGGAGAACCCTGGGAGACTTGCTGTCCCCACAAAGACAGCCGTGGATTTAGACGGTCCTGGCTCTGCTGCCTGCCTGCCCTGTGTCGCACTCTCTCCCGGGGGAATCATAAGCAAGGATCCCCTCAGGACACTTTGGGGCACCGTATAGACCATGCTGGCCTCGGACTTCTGAGCCTCCTGCCTCAGCCCCCCCCCCTGAGGTGACAGAGACACCACTGCCTCTGGTTTCTGTGCCCAGTGACTTTTTGTATTTTGAAGCATGTTTTTTCTACCTGAACTCTGTAGCTCAGCCTGGCCCTCCAACTGTGGCAATCCTGCCTCAGATGTACCCAGCTCCTGTCAAGTCTTCAGCTGGGCTCCAGGCTGCATTCCACTCTCAGATTCCTCAAAGGTTCAGGCAGGACCCTGGATAGGGGTGGTGTGTGGTGTGTCTGGGTGTGTGAGTGTGTGTGTGGTGTGTCTGTGGGTGTGTGAGTGTGTGTGTGGTATGTGTGTGTGTGGTGTGTGTGTGTGGTGTGTGTGTGGTATGTGTGTGTGGTGTGTATCTGTGTGTGTGGTGTGTATCTGTGTGTGTGGTGTGTGAGTGTGTGTGTGTGGTGTGTGTATGTGGTGTGTGTGGTGTGAGTGTGTGTGGTGTGAGTGTGTGTGGTGTGAGTGTGTGTGGTGTGTGTGTATGTGGTGAGTGTGTGTGGTGTGAGTGTCTGTGGTGTGTGTGTGTGGTGTGTGTGTGTGGTGTGTGTGTATGTGGTGAGTGTGTGTGGTGTGTGTGTGTGGTGTGTGTGGTGTGTGTGTGTATGTGGTGTGAGTGTGTGTGGTATGTGTGTATGTGGTGTGAGTGTGTGTGGTGTGTGTGTATGTGGTGAGTGTGTGTGGTGTGTGTGTATGTGGTGTGTGTGGTGTGAGTGTGTGTGGTGTGTATGTGGTGAGTGTGTGTGGTGTGAGTGTATGTGTGGTGTGTGTGTGTGGTGTGTGTGTATGTGGTGTGTGTGGTGTGTGTGGTGTGTGTGTGTATGTGGTGAGTGTGTGTGGTATGAGTGTGTGAGTGTGTGTGTGGTGTGAGTGTGTGTGGTGTGTGTGTATGTGGTGTGTGTGGTGTGAGTGTGTGTGTGGTGTGAGTGTCTGTGGTGTGTGTGTGTGTGGTGAGTGTGTGTGGTGTGTGTGGTGTGAGTGTGTGTGTGGTGAGTGTGTGGTGTGTGTGTGTGGTGTGAGTGCGTGGTGTGTGTGTGTGGTGTGTGTGGTGTGAGTGTGTGTGGTGTGTGTGTATGTGGTGAGTGTGTGTGGTGTGAGTGTGTGTGTGTGGTGAGTGTGTGGTGTGTGTGTGGTGTGAGTGTGTGTATGTGGTGTGGGTGTGAGTGTGTGTGTGGTGTGAGTGTGTGTGTGGTGTGTGTGTGGTGTGAGTGTGTGTGGTGTGAGTGTGTGTGGTGTGAGTGTGTGTGGTGTGAGTGTGTGTGTATGTGGTGTGTGTGTGTGGTGTGAGTGTGTGTGTGTGAGGAGGTAGAGGCAGGAGGGATGGGGAGGCTTTGGCCTTTGCACCCAAACCCATAAACCCATGTCTCCACCCTTCAGTGTCATGTGCTGGGAGCACCATGCACCTCTCAGAGACAGGCCTGGTCAACCCGAGAGTGTATGTGTCGTTTTCTAGTTTCCACAACAGGCTGCTTGTGCCCTCGCCCGGTGGGTGACCTCAGTGTGTGCAAGGAAAGTGCCTCCACGCTGCCCCCCCAGACAGCTCACCTTTGATCTCCCTACCCCTTGGAGAGTCTGAGTCCAGAGGTGCCCTCCGGGAATGAAAAGACAAAGCCTGGTTTCTTCAGTCTCAGCCTAAGAGAGCACAGTCCCTGTGGGGTGCTGATGGCATCCCCAATACAGACGGGGTTGGCTCCTACAACCCACCCCCCTCTGCATCCACAGGCTGAAGGGAGCGAAAGGGGGGCTTTATTCTGGGTCAGGTAAAATGTCCCCCCAAAGCAGCGTTGGCAGGAGGGGGGCACATGTCTCTCACGTGTTTATCAAGTAGTATGGAATGAACCCAACTCAATGGGTTTGAAAAGTCAAAACCTCCCTGAGTGGCTGCTGAACACGCCTGTCAGTGGCGCCTGTGCCTGGTTTCCGGAGTGTTAGTCACAAGCTCAGACTTGGGATTTCCAGGCTGTAAGGGTTTCATCATCCAGGCAGTGGGGGTGAGGAGGAGAATGAGGATTTCAAGGTCGCCTCCCCAGTGCAGTCCGTCAGAGGCTGCATGAGACTTTGTCTGAAAGCAGAGAGGGCAGAAGGGGCCGGCAGGATGTTCATGAGTGAAGTCAGTACTGTCTCACCGAAACGCTTCCATTTGGTCCTGAGACACCGGACTCTCACAGACAGAGTCAAAAGTAAAATCATCTTGAAAAGTAACAAGAGAGACAGGTGTTTCCAGAACACTGCTCCCTCAGCTGCTGTGGGAAGCTCACAGGTGCCCAGCTCTCCCGCTGGTGGGACACCGGCGTGCATGGCTTGGCACTGGGACCTGCCTCGCTGCGGCCAGCTCCCTGTCACACGGGTTCAGGATTTCACACCCCAGCCATGTCTGGGACTCAGAGAGCTGTGTTTTCGTGGTTCTAGTCTGTAGCCCTTGAAGCCTCTGTGAGCTCCTGGTTTGTGCCTCTGGAGTGGCGGGAGGGCAGGCCTGAGCGCTGTGCCCTGTTAGTTTGTCTTTTACTTCTAAGAGGTTGAACTGACGCTGGGTGGCATGAGGCCACTCACACCCAAGGCTTGGGGTGGCTTTGCCCAGGGAGGCCTCGGCCACACCTTGTAAAGTGCTTCCCTTTGGCCTGCCCGAGGGCCCTGGCTTGTTTGTGGGAAGATATCTCACGGCTTCCTTATCCCCTGGGGGCTCTTCTGTCCTCCAGCCTCTAGCCCAGTGTGCCTTCTCTTTGACCCTAGAGCTCCTCGCCCCAGTGTCTGGGATCCAGAAGAGAACGGTCTGCCAGGCTGTGCTCTGGGAGGCCTCACACATTTTACCCAGAAACCAATAAAGTTGTTGAAACATGTCATTGTGTGTCTGATGTCACCGGGCTCAAACAGCTGGGGGCTTGCTATGGCACTGGGGCCAGCCTTCAGCTTCCAGGCTGACGCCAACCTCCTGCCTCAGCCTTTCTGGGTCTGGGGCCAAAGGTTTGAAGCAGACATGCAGTTTCTTATAGGACCACCAGCCTCGCCCAGGGCCGTGAACATTCTGAGGGTCTGGAGAGTCCAGGGCTCAGCTTTTCTCTCTCCTAGGGGCCCCCACGCCCCCCACTCACTGCCCACAGCTCTGCGGTTGGTTGCTTGGTCAACAATTTCTCTGGTCAAATAAGAAGCCAGTTTGGCAAGGAGGAAGAGATGGGTGTGGGATCCCTGCCAAGCCAGGGCATGTGACTCTGGCCTGGGAACGCCTGTCACCCTGACTGTCACGAGCCACAAACTTTTATAGTCACAGAAAATCATAAAGTACAGTGGTGGGGACACAGGATGTGGTTCCAGTGATGGGTTCCCAGGGGCCCTGGTGACCTTCCCACCTGCGGGCCAGCAGGCACAGGCCAAAACTAAAACCCAACGGGGTAGCACCTGGCTAGAAACGCAGTTCTAAAGGACACCCCCCTGTCTATCAGAATATTTAATCAAGGGACCCCAACACATCAGAACTTCCCCGGGTTCTCATGCTGCGAGGAGAAGTCTGAATCCCTGGAGCAGCCAAACTGGAACTTCACTTTACCTCTGACAAAGATCCCACAGTTCCAACTTCCTGTCAGACCACCTTGCGGGGCCACTGGAGCTGAGGTGTGGGTGGTCCCGCACGCTCCATCTGTGTTGAACCCTAAGTCTTGGGGTGCCCTGGACCTCTTTGTTTAATTATGGAATAAATCTTGGGCCAGTGAGATGGCTCAGCAGTAATGGAGACTGCTGCCAAGCCTGAGACTCTTGAGTTCAATCCCTGGTGACTCACAGGTAGAAGGAGAAAAGTGAGCCGGGTGTTGGTGGCCACGCTTTTAATCCCAGCACTCGGGAGGCAGAGGCAGGCGGATCTCTGTGAGTTCGAGACCAGCCTGGACTACCAAGCGAGTTCCAGGACAGCCTCCAAAGCCACAGAGAAACCCTGTCTCAAAAAAAAAAAAAAAAACAAAAAAAAAAACAAAAAAAATTC